CTTTAAGAATCATTTTGATAATGAAAAAAAAGGTAAGTAGAATATAGGAATCAATATAATTTACCATGGAAGATTATCTTGTGCAAAAGGAAAGTGCAAAAAAAGTATTGTAGCAATAGGTGATCCATAGGATTATTACTATTTATTTTGATATGTAAATATAAATGAAGGAATGAAGACAAAAAACCTCAAATTACATGGGAGAAACTATAGATTCAAACCAAAAAAAAAAACAATATACATCAGCCAAAACTGCAGAAATTATGGCTCTCTACCTAAAGATACAACAAAGTCAATCTCCCTAAACATTTGAAGACATTTTAGGAATATTGTATAGGTACATGATTCCGAAACTATATAGCTGAAACAATGCTTTTTGAATTTAAGTTTATATGTTTTGGAAGTTCTACCATAAAGGAACTAATAAGTTCATATGTTTTGAAAGTTTCGAAACCAAGATTTAGTTTCATTGTTTTTATAGAAAGGGCACCATGAAAAATGAAATAATAATATAGCATGCATGCATAAATCATTTCAAATAATGCCTACAACACCATTTTAAATACAAAATGGCAAAGGAAATGGACTTACCATCGTCACTTCGTGTAATCTCCATTGTTCATGGTGATTAGAGAGAGCTCAGAAATAATAGGGTTGATGAAAGAGGTCAAAGGGAAATAAGGTCTAAAAATATTAAATCTTGGGTTAATTAGAGCAATTGAACATACATTGCTGGAGTGTCTGCAAGAGAGAGAATGTGTTTTTAGGAAAGAAAGGTTTGAATAGATTAAATTTTAGGTTAATTATAGCAATTGAACATATGTTAATTTTCAAGGAGTGTGTGTAAGAAAGAGAATGTGTAGGAAAGATCTTAAGAGATTTAAAGAGGTTGAATGGGGTAGGAGAGAGAGAGAGAGAGAATCAAAGCCAATTAAACATTTATAGTAGATAATAATAAACATTTAAATTAGAACCATAGAGGGGCCCCAAAGGATGGAAGAGGTAATTTATTGACAAAAATGATCATTTGGGTAATTTCAAAATAGAAAACTCATTCGTGTAAGGACTGAGGAAAGCAATATGGTGAGAGGACCCTTGCCTCCTCTCTTTCCTCTTTATTATATAGACTAGTGAATAACCCCGTACTAAGTACAAGGAATTAGTAATGTTAAATTTACATTATGGAATTAATACTATTAAATTTATATTTTAAATAATTATTAAAATTTTAAAAAATATTTATTTCAAAAAATAGCTTTTCAACAATTATTAGAATATGGATAATTTTCTTTTGTTATGATACATAGAGGGTTAATGATTAAGTGAGATTGATAGAATGTAGGCATAAGTGGTTGTGGATAACCACTTTTGCATTTTCTACATTTCTTAGGAATAGATTGAAAATAGTGATAGTGGGTTGTGGGCTTTAGCAACAACTTCTCATAAAATGTCATGTGCCTAGGTTTTCGGAAATATGAGAAGGCCATGTATTTGAATGGTGGAGAGTTGTAGCCTTGTAGTGGGTTGTGGGTTTTAACAAGAATTTCTCAAAAATTGCCATGTGTTTACCTTTCTAGGAAATAAGAATGCCACTTGCCATGGTAGTGGACTGTGGGATGTATCTAAATTTGAAAATGCCACGTGTCTGAATGGTGGAGACTATAGCCTGAAAGCCTTCATTTAATATATATATTAGATTTAATTAACAGCAACTTAAACTCATATAAAATCAATTAATTGGGTAGCCTAAACATCTTTGATTCACGTAAGGCTACCATACGTGAGCATGCAAATAGTTCTAAATTTTCTATTAATATTTTATGAAGCACAAAACTTATCTCAACCCAAAACATTTCCAATTGAATTGTAATGGGCCGTTGTGCCATTTCGGCCCAAAATGTGTAATTAAACACATGGTTGGACCTTACCAAATTGCCATAGAAATTCAGCTAGCTCCTTGCTACTTCAACTTTTGGGCTCAAATGAGTTTAGTAATGTAAGTAAAGTTACATCCATCAAATAATAATAGAACACTTAAGGCATCTCAAAAAAATATCAACAATAGTACTATGCATTCTCAACATGGCCTGTTACGTCATTGATGCCTTTAAAATTTCGACATCTACAATTTAAAATAAAGTAATCAAAGAATTACATCAACAAGTAACGATACAAGGAAATGACTTTCTCACATTTACAACTTTAAATCAAGCCATGTCTTTGGAATGAACATCACCAAAACCCATTAACTAAAATTTATAACTAAATTAAATGATACACACAATCATTAATAAAATCAGCAAGAATTTTTTTAGCCTATCGTTGGCCTTCTAATCAATCCAACCATGGTATGCAGGGACCCGCTCTGATACCACTATTGGTTGACTGAATGTCAACAAAATAGAATAATAAAACAAATAAACTAAATGATATTTGTAGAGTCCATTGTCATGAATGTCCCTTATTCTTCTTATTGTTTTTTATTTTAAGCCAAGTAGAATGTTCCCAAAGTTAGGTTGATCACCTATTTAGTTTAATCTTTTGTTTGTATTTTTATTGTATTTTTCTCCTTATAAATTCTCGAACATGGGCTGATGATTTGCAATATTTGGCAAAAGTTTTTTGTATTTCTCAATAGAATTTTCCACATACTTTAGTACTAGGCTAGAGAGACTAGAGTTAATTCTCCTTTTCTCAATAATGGTTCGGTAAGTAAGAGTAGAACGAATGGGGGTTGTTTTCTTTTAGAATATAGCTTAAAGGAGGGACCCTATCCACCTATTTAGTAAGTAGTTCCATCCATTAAGGAACTCCTAATATAGCAACCTACAAGAATCAACCACCTCCCTTATCAGTTCAACTATTCTCCACTTATCCTCATTTACCTAAATTCAATTTTAAATTCAAAAATAGGATAAAGATAAGTGAATGAGAGATTTTAGGGCCTTATGGTTGCGTTTGGAACCAGTGTAAATCAAGAACGATATAAAAGTTTACACTGGTTTGGTTTTGTTGGCATTTGGAAGGAGTGTAAATGAATATCAATCTAAGACTCCACTCCGGTTTAGATTTATTGGCGTTTGGGTGAAGTGGATCGATGTAAAACCTCATCAAGCATAAAGTTTTACATCGATAATCGATGTAGTATATCATGTAAAACTTTACGCTTTTTTATCACAGTTTTTAAAATGAAACGGTCACCTATTATATGGTTCAGTGTCAAATATCATCAGTGTACCTTTACATTGATGATGTTTTACACCAGATCCAAACGAAGTCTATGATTTTCACTTAATCAAAATGAGATTTTTCTTTATTTTTTTGTAGAGAACCACTATGACCCAAGGTTTAAAGTATCGAAAACGTAAGGTGTATTGGAAAGATAATTTTAAGAGATGTAGCAGGATACGTTTTGGATACTTATAGATACGGACGAAAAATCAAGATACACATAAATATACTAAAAAACTCAAATAAATCCTAAAAAAATATTAATAATGATAGATACAAGTTTTATATGGTTGTAAATAAGTTATTTAAAAGTAAAAAAAAAACTATAGTTTAATGGTCTATATAAAATTTGAGATATCAGCACACACTTGGTAACCATTAACAAATGATGGAATAACTAAAACGTGAAAAAACAAAAAAATAACACTAAAATGTATACCGATATACGTTTTAAAATAATGAATATAATTTATCTTAATATTTATTAATACATAAATTTTAATAATTAATTATAACATTTATTGATAAGCATATATTAAGAAAAAGAGAGAATTTACTTAACAATAAAAATTCATAAACCTATAGCAAGCAAATGGGCATGGTTTAGTGGTGAATCTCTAGTTGTTAAAGCTTAATGGCTAGGGTTCGAATCCTGATATTGTTAAATTTGTAGTTTTATACTAACAAAACAAATTTAACGAGAAAGAGGATTATTAATTAATGAGAAGAGAATTTCAATTAGGCGCTAAAATTGAAATTCAATTTTAAAATTATGCATTAATTATAGAGTTATGATGAAAAAAAAAATTCACCAATACCAATATATCTCTTAATATAATTATTACATTTTCAAATGTCAAACTTCAAACAAACAAATAGGCCCTAAATATAAACGTTCCAACACTCATGATTTCTATCTTCAAAATGGACCGAACATGATTAACAATCGATTCAACAGAACCGAATGAATAATAAGAACGTAATAAGTAGGACTTCAAGATGAAGGCATTTCTCTCGGCCAGCAAGGACTGCAGCAAACGCATTGGCCGACAAAGACTACAACCTCTCCGTTCATCCGCCTCCAATTCCTCAACTCCAACGTTTAATTTACATCAATTTACCGAAGAGTGTTAAATGGGTCTGATTTCCGTTTTACACTCTCATAAATCCATCGGTGTGTTAAACTCCTCCATCTAAATTTGTATTTACACAGCTTTCAAACGCAGTCTAGGGTCAAATCCAGGGGTTGCCGGCCGGAGAAAAAAAAAAAACCCTTATATAATGACCATTTTATTCGTATAATATCACACATTTTTGTACGGATAAAATTTATCAATTTATACGATAAAAAATTGTTTACCCAAGTCTCAAGACGATAATGCTTAATATTTACGTAGAGAAATGAATCTGTCTCTCGGGAAATGGGAATCATTATTTTTCGTAATGACCATTTTTTCTTTTCCGTCGTACCCGCCAAACTCACCTACCCCGTTTACCGGAAAACGAACGCCCCCGGTCTGTCCACAGTTTGTTCGAAGGCGGGTTTCACGGTACTAAAAAGTAAAAACATCACAAATCGTCCGATGAAACGATCATAATCATAAAAAACTCAGACCCAATACCCGGTTCACAGGTTCGACTATCCGGGTTGAACTTGAAAATACTGGCTTAAAGCACTGTTACGTCTGTTAACAGATCACACGTGTCCAATAATGCACACGAGATGAGAGTACGTTGCAAGACCGATCCGAGGAGTTTCTATCCCTCTAAATCCCGGTCTCAATATGCCAATCACATCAGATATCACGGACGAGCACGACAGACCTGCTGCTGCTGCTGCTTCAGGGGGTGCGATGGCCGTCGCTCTGAAATCAAGTTGCCTTCTACAACCCAAGAAATCCCTCAATCAGAGTCGTCATTTCCTCCTCTTTTCCACCAAGAAATCCATTGTTTCAGTGAAGTCTCGGTCACCTATGGCTTCTATGGTTGTGGCTCCAACTGTTGGGCTCTCTGAAACATTCACCAGACTCAAACAGAAAGGCAAAGTGAGCATATGGGTCTTTTAAACTTGGGAATCTCTTTTCGTTGTTTATCTTTTACTGTTTTCCTTTGTATGTGTAAGCAGTTTTCTAAAATCTCCGTACTTCAGTGTTTTTCTTTTTCATATATTCACTTTCGGTCTCAATGTTCACAACTTGACATTCAACATTGTTGTGGATACTCGTGATTCAGATGGTCTGTGCCTGCATTTTTCTGCGATGATAAACTTTACTTGGGTTTAATAGTTTGTTCGTCATCGTCCTGTAATGGAAAAGCATGTTTTAGAATTGATGGAGAGATTTTAAATGCGTTATCCAATTGTCATTCTGTAGTTTGGAGTTCAACTTGCTACAATGTAGAAAAAGTTTACATATATCACCCTGTTGGTCTGTTAATCATTTGATTTGAGTACTAATTAGGGAGTTATGCTACCTGTTCTACATGCAACTCTGTAGTCCATTTCAATGTTATAGGGCTATGGGGAAGTTTCTTTGTCGTTGTTCATGTTCTTTTAAGGTTGTAGTGGAGACAATGCCCCATTTGTTGAGAAAACAAGGAATAATAATACATGAAAAATCGTTACCTGTTGTAATACACAGATCAAACCAGTTACGTGCCCATAGCCCCACCGAAAAGAAAATCTCATTTTTAAGGTCTATATATCCAAAGGTACAGCTGTAACACGAAAATGTTATGTTTCTTAATTTGAATGTCTTAATTACCCAAAGTCCCATATACCTGGTAGATTAATCTCCTTTCTGAAACCTCCAAATTTATAAGTTCTTATGGGTATGAGGTACCATGTTATTGCTACTTGGATGCTGCAATAAAGTTCCATTTTTTTTTATCCCAGGTCTTGTTTTATATAATTTGTTGCCACCCAATATACATGCTGATATAAGTGATCTAATTCTGAATGAAGATCATTTTTAATTTTATCAAATCCCATTCCTATTATATTGTATATGCAATCTGCAATTATCTTTGTAAAGAACTGCTTGTTTCTTAATATCACTCTATCTGATGAGCATGCCTTTGATGCAAAGGTTGCATTTATCCCATACATCACAGCTGGTGATCCTGATCTTTCGACTACAGCAGAAGCATTAAAGGTGCTTGATTCTTGTGGATCAGACATAATTGAATTGGGTGTTCCATACTCTGATCCTTTGGCAGATGGTCCAGTTATCCAGGTACCACTAAGTATTAATTTCTTTCCTGTTCTTCCATTTCTCTTTCTTGGTAATTTTTCTTAAGCTATTGATTTTCTATCAATATTTCAGGCTGCTGCTACACGTGCTTTAGCCAGAGGGACCAACTTTGATGCAATTGTTTCCATGTTAAAAGAGGTAGGATCTCAGATGCTTCATTAAACATGGAATATGTGTTTGCAGACGTTTGGACAAGCTCACACACACACAAACTCTCATTTTAAAAACAGCTAGCTAAAAGGATATGTGTTTACTTCAACATTAAGGTTGCTTTTGGATAAGCTTCTGGATTTGTGCTTTTAAACCGCAAGGCTTCATGCTTTGGGGCTAAAAAGTGTTTTGGAATTAGATTATAATATTTTTAAAAGCAATCCTTAGCAAACACTCAAAACAACTTTTTGGCGCAACTCTGTTTTCCATGGTCTAAAGCTAAAAAGTGAGAATTTGTCCAAATAGAGCCTATGGATTTCATAATAATTTCTGTTATACCTGTGCATGAAATTTGTTTGTTTCTGTACTAGAGTAATTTGCTATAAACTTTTAATATCAGGTTTTCCACATTTGCTAAGCAGGTGGTCCCACAACTATCTTGTCCAATTGCATTATTTTCATATTACAATCCAATTCTTAAGCGCGGCATTGAGAAGTTCATGTCTACTGTAAAGGACGCTGGTGTACATGGTAATGTATCTCTCTGTCTGAAATAATCTTGCTTTGCTAATGTCTGAGGGGAAAAACTAACGAGATCAGGTTTATCCAATGATCATACCATACCTGGATAGGGAATTAATGTAGGTCTTACTAATGAACACTGTTTGCTTAGTTTAATGGAGAGTTCAACCCTTTGGCAGCCTTTTGTTGCATCAATTTGTGAAAAAAAAGCTATATTTCTACTAGGTTCTGTTATAATTTAGGGAATCAATCTCAAAGTGAACCCTATTGAAAAAATTGATATGACTAACTGGTTTAAGTGACTTTGGGGTATTCTTTTAACTTGCTCCATTATAAAGCAAGGTTTAAATTCATAAAAAAATTAGAAAAATCTCCTTAAAAATCCATCTTTCTAGAAAGGTCAAAGTCTTGTTTAGTTTGTCTCTATTCTATTTGGAGTTTCTTCCTTATTATTATTTTTATTTTGCCAGTCTTTGCTTCTTGCAGAAATAATCTTCTCATTAACCATTATTGTTGAGAAAGATCATTAAGTGTTTACCAAATTTGGAATGGAAAAAAGATTAGCTATGTGTTTGGTATAGCTTTTGTTTATTAAATAAACTTTTGTACTTGATTTGTCTTCAAAACCGAGAAAAAGTGGTTGATAAACGTTTTTCTGTGATTTATTGACAACTAGATGTGACATCAGTGGAACAGTAAATAAACGCTTAACCTTTGGGGGAAGCGTTAAAATGAAGCTTCCCCCAACGGTTGGCGTACACGAAAATCAAGACCAAAATTTATCAATACCTATGTGTATGAATTGGCATGATGGGACAAATGCTGATGTGGCGATGACATGGCACCGTTTATCAAATAAACGGATGCCATACCAAACACCGCCTGGATATGCCTCTTACACCAATAAGAATCCAATGAGGGGAACATAGTGTACACTGACACATAAAAAACAGAATGCACAACGGCACAACAAGGTTGTCTACAAGAAGAACTTTTGAGCTTAGGAGTCTGCTCTAGCTAAATGAGCTATTCCTTATGGAAAATAGAAATCTTCTTTCTCTTATGAAGTGCTGAAGGGCCCAGGACCATCTGAACCGGAAAGCATTCATCCCACTACCAAGTATGAATTGCCTTTGACCATTAGCTAACTCATTCCTAGGAAGTAACCAAGTCTCAGTCCTTGCAATAAGCAAAGTATCTTGGCTTTAGGCCTCTAAGTGTGAGCTTTTAAAATTAAAATTTTAGTTGAATTCAGAAATCACAAACTTTCAGCTGCTTGCTTCAAAGAATGTTACTGAGAAAAAATATGGAATACAATCCCCCTTTTTGATTATTGAAAATATATGTTATCTTATCTCAAAAAAAGTTAGTTTACTATGGATATTCTAGAACAAGGAACTAATCTTTTGTAGAGATTATTTATGTTTTTGCAAGAAGAGAAGTTTACAATCCTGTTGGTAATAGTTCTGGCACATAGTTTTCAAGGCACCAAGGCGAGGCTAGGTGACAGGGGGGCGCCTTGTTGCCTAGTCGCCTAGGCGATGGATTTTTTTAAGTGAAAAATACATATCCTAGGAAGTTCCCTAGGTTCCATAACCATGTTTCCTTAATAACTATCCATAATTTTCATAAGAAAATTATAAAATTCATGTTTATGTCTAAAAAATCAACATATTTATGAGAAGAAAAAGAATAAAGAAAAGAAAATTCAAAAAATATGGGGACTGAACCCCTATTTTTGTTATATGAAAAGAAGAAAAGAAAAGGGTGGAAGAAGAAGAAGAAGAAGAAGAAGAAGAAGAAGATGTGAAGGAAGAAATGTGTTGATTAGACAAAACTTTCAGTTTTTCCCTTACTTATTGGTTCAAATTCTGAAGTCCTTGAGGGTTCAATACATCAGTTAGCAATGTTTGTGTTGATTAAACTCTAACAAATAAGAAAATAATAAAAAGAAATTAGTTTATAAACACAAAAAATGAATATTTTTGTTTAATAATGTCTGTTTTATAATTTCTCAAAAAAGTAACAATATAAAAGTATTTTATAAGACACTATACAACTGCTAGGTGACTGGGCGAGGCGAGCCTCCAAGGGCGCCTTGTCGCCTTGACAACTATGTTCTGGCATGTTGAAATGCAAGTGGAAGTGAACAAATGGGTCTATGCATTTCTCTGTCATTCCATGCAGCAGCCATAGAGTTTTAGTTCAATAGCCTTTTTCTATGTTGCAAGAATTGTTGTTCCTTTATATTCTAAAGAAAATATAAGAAAGTGAAAACAAGAATTGTTGTTCCTTTATATTCTGAAGAAAATATAAGAAACTAAAAGGTTTTTATTCATATGGAAGAAGTGCAATATAGAGGATATGGCATTGATGTGGACAAGGATCATTATGCACATGACTAATTTTGGGATTCTCCTAAAAGATGGATGCTTTTGGACCTTACATATGTTGTAAACTCTTTTCATCCTTAAACACAATAAATCCCAGAAAGTCCGAAAGCATCCAGAAACATACTTACCAGTTTCCCATACTTCTTTCTTTGTTTCTATTATTCACTTATTGTGTTCTGTATAATTTTTTATTCAACTTTCTTTCAGGGCTCGTGGTCCCAGATGTGCCTCTGGAGGAGACTGGAATATTGAGAAAGGAAGCTGTTAAGAACAAAATTGAATTAGTAGGTTGCTGAATTGTTCTTCTTTTTTTTTTTTCAATTTTCAATTCTTTATCTTTTGGCTTGCTCAGGTTGTATGCACATGCTTACAGTTGTAGAATAAATATTTAAAATTATTTAGTATGACAGAAACTGCTATTTTACTTAAAAGGCCTGACATTTGTGACTAAAGTGAAGAAAGTTAATAAGCCATTCTATGAGTTGTTAGAAATGTGTATGCTGAGATGGATAAGTGGAAACACTAGAAAAGATAAGATAGGAAATGAAGCCATTTAAAGGAACTTAGGAGTAGCTCCAATAGGTGTGACAAAATAAGAGAAAGTAGATTTAGGTGGTTTGATCACATGCATAGAAGACTATCAATAGCACCTGTAAGAAGAGATGATTTGTTGTAAGTTAAAGGGGCTAGAAGGGATAGGGGTAGACCAAAAAGGACATGGATAGAACTAGTAAGAAATGATTTAAGCGTAATTTAACAATGGATATGGCATTAAGCAGAACAGAATGGTGAAGCAGGACTCATGTAACCAACCGCACGTGGTTGGGATAAGGCTTGGATGATGATGATACATTCAATGAATTAAGTAGTCGTACAAGACTACAGATTTGAACAGTAAATAAAAGAAAATTAGAAGAGAAGAGAAGAGAAGAGAATAGAAGAGAAGAAGAGAGATGGAGAAGAGAAACTCGTGGAAGGGTTTTAGGAGAAGAGAGTGGTTGGTTGTGTTAAAACAGCCGCCCCACCCTTTGAATTTATATACATAGTTTCCTAATTGTAAAAGAACTTTAATGCTTACATGGCAAGATAAGATAATTAAAAACTAATCCTAGATAAGATAGAATAGGATTAAAACTAATCCTACTAGGAAAGCTAATCCTAATCAATGACTTAATTAAATCTAACTATAACTCAGGCTGTCACACGAGTACACTAATGTGGGGCCCACACTTTCCTACACTCCCCCTCAAGTTGGGAGTAGATGTTTGTCATTTCAACTTGCATAGTCTTCTTCTAACTTCTTTCTTGAAACAACTTTGGTGAGAAGGTCTGCAAGTTGCATGTCAGAGGTGATGTAGGGGAGGCATACTTCTTGAGATGTAACACTTTCTCTAATAAAATGCCGGTCCACTTCAGTATGCTTAGTTCTGTCATGCTGTACTAGATTATGGGCTATATTAATGGCAGCCTAGTTATCATAGTACAACATTAGGGGTTTCTCATAAGCAATACCCAATTCCTCAAGTAATGATCTTAACCATAGAATCTCAGCCACACCATTTGCCATGGACCTATATTCAGCTTCAGCATTGGAACGAGAGACAACACTTTGTTTCTTACTCTTCCAGGAGACCAGATTACCCCCTACACAGGCACAATATCCAGAGGTAGATCTTCGATCATCAATACACCAGCCCAATTAGCATCTGTGTAGACTTCTATCTTCATGTGGTCATTTTTCTTGAACAAAATGCCTCTGCCTGGGGACCTCTTCAAATATGCTAATATCCTCTCAACTGCAAGGAGATGAGTAGTTCTGGGAGAGTGCATATAGTGACTTACTACACTGACTGCATAACTGATGTTAGGTCGTGTGAGGCTAAGATAGAGAAGTTTTCTAACTAACTGTTGGAACATAGCTTTATCTTCAAGAGGCTCTCCACCCTCTGCACTAATCCTGTGGTTCTGTTCAATAGGTGTGTCCACAGGCCTAACTCCCAACTTTCTTGTTTCTTCTAGCAAATCAAGGACATACTTTCATTGAGAGACAAAAATCTGATGCTTGGATCTAGCTACCTCAATGCCCAAGAAGTATCGTAGTTCCCCCAGATCTTTCACCTCAAACTCTTGATGAAGAAGTTGCTTAAGAGACTTAATTTCACCAGTATCACTCCCTGTTATTACAATATCGTTCACATACACAGCAAACAGAGTTACGGAAGAATCCACTCTCTTAATAAACAAGGTGTGGTCTGACTAGGCCTACACATATCCGAACCTATCAAGGGCTCGTTTGAATCTGTCAAACCAAGATTTGGGGGACTGTTTTAGTCCATATAAAGCTTTGTTCAACCGACAAACCTTTTTCTTTTGTCTTTGTACCATAAAATACCGGAGGCAACTGCATGTAAACTTCTTCCTGCAAGTCTCCATTGAGAAAGGCGTTTTTAACATCCATCTGATACAACAACCAAGAGTAACTAGCTGCAAGAGAACCATTAGCATGTAACCAAGCCCTATACCTTACAACAAAACCATTAGCATTATGTTTCACAGTGAATGCCCATTTACATCCAACCAGTTTCTTACCTTTAGGCTGATCAACTATCTCCCAAGTATTGTTTCTGATGAGGGCATCCATCTCTGCTTTTATTGCATCTTTCCATTTTGGTACTTCCAATGCTTCCTGTATTGTTCTAGGAATGGAAATATCAGCAATGGATGCGAGAAAAGACTTATAGGAGGGAGACAAATGATCATAGGACAAGAACTGAGAAATGTTGTGAGCTGTGGATGTGGTACAATGACGCTTGCCCTTACGAACTGCTATGGGAAAATCAAGATCATCTAATGAAGGTGAAGGCTCCATGGTGGGATGTCTCTCATCTGTAGTATCTGTGGTACCTGGATCTGGATCTGCAGAAGGAACTAGGGCTACTGTGGTACTGGGATCTGGATCTGTAGAGGAGACTGTGACTAGCCTGCACTGTTGATGTCCGAAATAAACCTGTCTCCATTGTCTGTGATAGGCTCTCACATCTCTGCACCTTTGACAACCTTCCCCATTACACCCTTCTTCACTTAATGGGATTGGTAAAGGAACTTCTAATGAGCTGCTTCTAGCCTCACTATTCTCCTCTTGAGGAGAAACCCTTGGATAATAGGGTTTATCTTCAAAGAAAGTGGCATCCATTGAAACAAATCTTTTTCCAGAAGTCGGTTCATAACAACAATATGTTATGGACACATTCGTTGGTAAGACTTACCGCCGCCGCCGGCAGCAGCACTGAGGAGGGGCCCACGCGACAGCTCATTAGGGGCCCACACTTATCTCTGGCCAACTCGCCACCAGCTTACCTTATCCCTTATCCCATCTATCCTTATCTTATCTCCTATTCTTAGTAGGAGTTTTGTTACCATTAGAAGTAGGTAGTTTATTTCCCATAAGAAGTAGGAATTTGAGTTTGATTAGAGATAGATTATCCTAGCC